ACTTACAGCGCACAGGTACACCGGCAGATCAATAGTTTGAAGAGATTTTTAAATTATTTACGCGGGAAAACACAAATACTTAAGAGCACCACTAAAACACGTCTTACTCTGCCAACATCTGGCTTAGATAACAGTTATTGAAGAGTTTTATTTATAAAAGTCATTATAAAAATCAGTCAGTGACTTTTATTTTTAAAAGTCATTAATATAAATCAGTGACAGACTTTTATTTTTTAAATCAATCATATAAAAGTCATTAACATTTTTCGCAGTTAAGAAGGTGTTGGAAAAGAAAAGTTTACTACGAATTATTCAAATGACTTTTATAAGTATGATTGAAAAAATTAAATATCAGTGACTGATTTTTATTTATGACTTTTATAAATAAAAGTCTTCGATAACTGTTATTTAAGACATATAAATTAAAAATCAAAAATAACTGTTATTTGCAGATTATTTAAATAAAAATCAAAAATAATTGTTATTTTCGATTTATAAAATAATAGTCAGAAATAACGATTATTTAAAGAGTAATTAAATAAAAGTAAAAAAAATTATTGTTAAAGAGTGATTTTTTTAATACAAGTTGTAACTGTTGCGATCCCTGATCCTCACATATGTTCATCAGAGTATACCAACGCAGGACGAGTTAATACAAGGAGATAGCGAGAGCACAAAACTACTCTAGAAAATTGCACGCACAATGACAAAGATGAACAAATGTACAACAAACACATAATTTTTGACAATCAGTGCAGTTCGCATTTATATCAACGAGCAGCTTCCCTGCAAACCAAAGTTCCCGAAATCTTAAGGGAATCGTTAGGAGTATCTCATTTCTGTAACGATTTTTTTACGAATTTTTAAAGAAAATTATATGAAGTGGTTGACACGAACTCGTAAAGAAATTTCTGTGCGAAAAATAAAGAAAATTCTGAAAAAATTCTGAAATATATTCTTCACATAGGAGAATTATTTTCATTGCTGCACAGATCTTCTTCCAAAATTTCGTAAAAGAATGGAAGTGTGCGTAATTTATTTCATTTTAGAAAATTCGGCAAAAAATCGAATTAAATCTTATCGAATTCTTTAAAATTTCTTTACAATGCAGAATACTCTGAAAAAATGGTTTGCAGGGTACATCCATTCGTACATGTACACAAACATATGTACATATGTACAAATATATATACAACCATTCAAACATATGTACATACATGAAAACATTGCTGTCCATAAGTACATACATAAATATGCCCATCAGTACTCATCAACGAAGCCCGTTTGCTTCATCATAAATATTATCCATACATACATATGTACATATGTATGTACGAATGGATGTAGTTACGCGAAGGACGCTTGCATCATTTATACATAGTACAGTGAAACCCGCTTAAGTACCATTGAATGGGCTAAAAAAACTGTATACTCCAAAAACATTTCTGAGAAAAAAGTTTGAAATTATGATGATTTTTTTTAAGTATTCTACAAAATCTTAAGATTAGGTTTATATGGTATTTGTTAGGGAATGAGCTGCATTTTAATTGATTGAAAAATCTTAAAAATTAATAAATAAACATAAGTGACAAACAATATTATTGTGAATTTGGAACAAAATGAAATGTTTTTTTTTAATAAAGTTTTTCTTTCCATGTTTATGTATTTACACAATGCTAAAATTTTGGTTTTAAACTATGTATTCTTCATTAAATGTTGTTAATCAAGTATTTATGTAAGTTTACAAGAAGATGTAACTACATCAGTAATTATGTCCGCTTAAGTACCCGCATCGAGGTACTTAAGCGGGTTCTTTTAAGTACCCAACCCGCCTGAGTACCTTAAAAAGTTGGCATTTTTCGTGCGCAATGAGTTCGTTCATACATACATATATATGTATACATACATACGTGCATTCAAACATACATATATACATATGTAGGCACTCCTACCCGTCATGCCGCTTTATTTCTTTTTTCCCCTTCCCTATACTACCTGTATATCACTCATGTAACGTTTTCAGTTTAAAAAATTCCACTTTCCATTTTTGCGATACCGCCGCCTAAGAAGTTTCACTTCAAAATTTAACTCGATTTTCGGAATCACCGAGCAATTCTACATAAAAATTGGATAGTGGTATTATTGAACATTTTTGGTGTAAAGCGGTTTTTTTTTAGTAATTTTGTTTTTGCTGACAGTGTCTTCCATACAAAATGAATTGCCGAACATAGCTTGTATCGAAAACGTATCCATAGCCAAAAAATTAACTCGATTTTCGGAATCACCGAGAAATTCTATATAGAAATTGGAGAGTGGTTTCTGGAGAACAAAAACCAAACTAAAATTTGTGATCCAGTGAAATCAACGCGATTTTCTAGCAACTTCAGACTTGCACTTTATTAATTGGCTAAAAAGGTACATTTTCAACATTTTTCTAAAAGATCTGATTAAAAATTCTCTGAGCTAATAATTTTGTATGTCGCTGTACTTATAAGTAAACTAGGGTTAATCATATTTTTCGTTGCTGTTAATGTGTTTCAACTTCTGACTTTTCCTTAATATAATTGTAAAACTCTGTACACGTAATTTTTAACGTATGTACTTATATTACGCGAATTTCTTTCCTTAGTTCATTAAGAGTTATGACTAGGTATGGCCAAGGTGTAAATATTAAACAAGATGTGATGGACAACTAAGTGAGGCTCTGTTTCAAGGTACTATGTATAACATCAAAAAATATAAACAAATGACAACACTTCTGTGGAAGCGGAAAGGAATTTATACAATCTCTTTGGTATTTTCTAGGGGTAATTAAAACACTATAAACATACATTTTTATAGTCTATAATCTTTGCCGCGAAAACTTACATCGGAATTAAAGTACGCACGAAAAATAAACGAGCAAATTCAAAATTTCTGTAATTAAAATCTGGACACTTAAACGAAACCCGGGACACTTTGAGGTTGGACCGGGACCTCGGGACAAATAATCTAAAACTGGGACATGTCCGGGAAAACCGGGACGTCTGGCAGCCCTATAACTGTTAACATTTCTCTCCGGTAAATCATCATTATCGAAGATTAATGTTAACCAGACATAGAGTAACCGGCCCTTATTGTGTTAAAGGGCCCATAAATGAAATTAGCATGATGGCGCCATCAAGTGTTGGTGCCAGCTGATTGACCGTGTATATTCTCGTGGTATGATTGTACGAGCAGCTGGTGCGAAAAACGATTTGAAATGTTATGATTGTACCAGCATGCTGGTGTCGTGAATGGTGAAATTAGCTAACTTTTTTAAGTAAAAAGTCTTTTGGCGGAAATTTCTCGCACCATATGAGTCAATGCCGTGTTTGTGGAAGATTGAAGATCACAATATTACAGTTGGGAGTAAAAAAAAAAAACCAATGTTTAACAAAATGTTAGAAAAATTATGAAATTCCGGCTCTAATCATTTGGACCTTTTCTGGACATCATTTGTAAAGAAATAGATATTGTACCAGCATGCTGGTATGTTATATGCTTCGAGCCTGATGGTGCAATCACGTGATGGTGCCGACAAGCTGGTGCCGTGTATTTCCCCTTCTACACAAAAAGGGCTTTGGTTGGATAAAATATTAGTTTTTTCTAGAGTTCATTGTTTTTCTTTACCATTACTTATTGAATATGTTTGCGTGTATACTTACATATATATATATTTATGTGTAAGTAAAAAATTTTAGCTACCATTTTTAGCCACAACGAATTTTTTAAAGCTCTTTTTAGCCCTTTTTAAAGGGAATGTGGCTACCTGCAAAAATGATTCGCGGCAACAATGGTCATTATATATTATTATATTTCGACCTACTGAATCCGATTCTAGGGTTCCTTTGACCCATACACCCTCAAAATTTTGAGTAAATTGCGAAAAAATGGTAAAAAATTCGCAATTTCTTTATGTAGTAGAATAAATACCTGTTCAATGCTCCTTTTTATAAACCTTCGTTACAGTGCCTAAAGCTAGGATTCCACTATCGGTGCAAATAGCACAATATGTACTAATTTTCATCGTGAGTGATTGGTACGCATTTAAAAAATTTGTAAAACTACTTTTTGAGTGGTGCCATTATCATCGCATATTGTCACAATCTTTATTGGTGCACATCGGTGAAATTAACCCTTTATAGCATCATGTAACATATATGTTACAAACCCCTTCCGAGCACGCAAGACGGTGAAAAAATAATTGGTTCATTTTTACTTGATGTGACAGCACTGATACAAAGCGTTTTATATAATTGCAGGTTATTTATTTGTTTAACGCATGGCATTACTGCCTAAAACGTTATTTCAATTTCAAGTTTGGTGAAGTTAGTGAACACACGTGCATGCTCTCTTTACGAATTTCATAGAAAATAACTATTGAGTTTTTTAATAAAATCTTTTGTTTAAAAGTACAGGTAAGTTCAATTTTGTGCATATTTTGTACTAACTAAACAAAAAAGTGTCATAATTACGATACAGAAGCAAAAAAATAATAATTTTTGTAACATTGAGGTACAAGGGCCACTAAAAGTGCTTATGCTTGGTTTCTGCTTTACTCCAACAGAATGGCATCCCGCAGCTTATCAGTTGAGGATTGTGAGGACGGGTTCGAAAGTGACGATGATAGCATTGCCGATCCCGATTTTTAGCCGTAGAACAATGTAAGTTTAAACTTTGATACCGATTTCGATCAGGGCGACGGACACAATGAAATCGAAAACAATAACTCTGATAGTGACTTAGAGCAAACATCCGTATTTGCAAATGCTACTCAGCCTGGCTCATCACGTCGAATTAAACTAAAGAATGTTGTATGGAAGAAAAAAAGTATTGAGCGAAATGAAAATCAACTTCGATTCTCAGGAAAGGAAGAACTACCTAGTGATATTTTGGATCTAGAAACGCCCATCCAGTTTTTTCTAAAAATATTTCCTCACGAATTATTTTTGAATATCGCTGAGCAAACCAATACTTACATTATAGAAAAGGACCCCGGCAAGAATTTCCATGTGTCCGAAATCGATATCCAGCAATTTATTGGAATAACGTATATAATGTCTTTGGTACATCTTCCAAGAGTGAGATCAGAACACCTTTCATAAAGGAAACGAGGCCAGCAAACAAATTTGAAAAAATCAGGCAATTTATACACTTCAATGTCAATTCCAAAATGCCTCCTCGCGAGCATACCAACGCGGATACGCTGTTTAAATTCGACCAATACTGACAAAATTGAACGAAACATGTATGCAAATTACGCTGAAGAGTCAGCTTTGTGTAGATGAGCAAATTTGCTCAACGAAAGCAAGGAATAACTTGAAAAGGTATAATCCCAAAAAGCCGAAAAAATGGGGATATAAAATATTTGTACTTTGCGATACTAGCGGTTTCGCGTACAGTTTTGAAGTAGAATCTGGAGCTGAAAATATTATAGAGCCTGGAGAGCCAGATTTGGGTGCTGCCTCAAACGTTGTAATGCGACTGGCCAGAAATATCCCGAGGAGTCAAAATTATAGGCTTTATTTTGTCAGGATTGTCGGTATATTTTCTTGGATGTTTATTCTTTGGATGTTCAAATACAACTGACTGTGGCGAGTACAAGAATAATGGAACTCAAAGAAACATATTAACAGAAAAGCAAACGTACAAAGTAAAATGTCAAAAGTTCAGTGATGCCACAGAGTAATATACATGTCATATAATTGCAACTTAAACCAAGATGACAGCTCGGCCCTTCCTGATGGAAACTCGTCCCGAGTTTATTCAAGGATATCACTGGTATCTTCATGGGCATTGCTGTCGTTGTCTGGTACATCATCGACTTCGGGAAACAGTGCGCACCAAGGCTTCAGTTTATCACTGCTCACCACAGTGCTGAAGCGACGTTGTTTAAGCTGTGCACCCTCAACATCTTTGATGATATAGCGATCAAACCGGAGAACCTTGTCGACAACATAAGGCCCTCGATATTTGTGTTCTAGTTTTCGGGATTCGCCTGTGCTTGGAATAGCGCTCTCAACCAAAACAAGATCACCTTCATCATACTTAGTTGGTTGCTTATACTTAGCGTTGAATCTGTGCTTCCAGGCAACACGTGCTGATTCAATATTCTCAATAGCATTCGAACGTCGTTGGCTTAATGTGAGTTGCTCTAGGTTGACGTGGTCGTCGTGCAAGGTAGCAAGAATCTTATTGCCACTAATGTCACGCAACGGGAAATCGTATATCAGATCAATTGGTGAGTATTTAGTTGTCGCATTAACGTGAGTGTTGATAGTCCACTGGAGACGGCGCAAGTCGTCGTCCCATGTCTTAGGATTTGTTGTCGTAGTCTTTAAGAATGCTAGCACTGACTGGTTGACTCGTTCAGCCAGGCCATTCGATCGTGGTGTACGGACAGCTACTTTGATATGCTCAATATCGTTGATTTTGCAGAACTCGTGGAACGATGAAGACGTAAACGATGTTCCTCGATCGGTGATAATCTTCTTCGGCAACCCAAAGTACAATGTCAACTGGTTTAACACATCTACAACCGACTTTGTTTTTGTAGATCTAACAGCAACAATTATCGTATATCGGGTCAATGCGTCGACAATAACCAGGATGTATTCGTTACCGCGTCGACTCTTTATAAATGGCCCTAGATGATCCATGTGCAATACTTCGAACGGCAGTCGTATAGTTGGCATTCTTTCTTCGCAGGCTCACGACAAAAACAGCACTCAATGCACCCCTTAAGATACCCTTTTACGAAATTGCGACTTCGTGGGAACCAAAAGTGCTGTGCTAGTCGCTTGAGGGTACCATCAACCCCTGGATGACCAACTTCGTCGTGACATAACTTCACAATTCTCCAACGCATGCCACGTGGAATAGCCAAAAGTAGCTTTTCATCGCATTTCTTATAAAGTCGGTGATGCTTGATGACATATTCCTTCTCGTACATCTTTAGTTGATCCGATTTGGTTTGCTTAGTAAGGACATTAACGATGTCATTTAAATGTGGATCTTGCTTTTGTATTGTAAAGATCCAATCTTCTAAAGCAATGGAAACTGGCATCACACATGACGTTACATCTTCTGGATTACCTGGAGCTTCGACCGGTGCTCGACTCATAGCATCAACATGGCTCATACTCTTACCTGGACGATGCGTGACTGTATAATCGTACTCAAGTAGCTTCAATAACCACCGTGCTACTCGTGGAATCATTGGCTTCTTGGACTTCAAAGTTGAAATGGCGCTGCAATCAGTGACGACAACGAACGGTTTACCCAGCACATACATTCGAAACCGTTGGCAGCCCTCCACCAAAGCTAATACTTCTAGCTCGTACCCATGATACTTGCTTTCAGCATCATTACACCGACGGCTATAATAGGTAATTGGTTTAATCCCATTATCTTCTTCTTGCAATAAGATAGCTGCAATACCAGTACTACTGGCATCTGTATGTATCTGATGATTTTTCGACCCATCAAATATTCCCAGAATAGGTTCTTTAGTAAATAAATGAATTAATTCTTGATATGCCTCGTGGCATTCAGTTGACCAGTCAAATGAAACATCTTTCCTAGTTAAACGCATTAGCGGTGCAGCAATGTGTGCGTAGTTCGCAACAAACTTCCGGAAGAATCCGGTGAGACCTAGAAAACGTCACACCTCCGTAGCATTTGTAGGTACAGGGTATCGTTGAATCGCCGCAGTTTTAATCCGGCCTGGAGTTAGACCATTCTCATTTAACTCATGACCTAAGAACGTAACGCTGTTCTGCATAAAAGCACACTTCGACAAACGAAGCGTTAGGCTCTCTCGCGGGATAATACGCAAAAACTCTTCAAGGTTCTGCACACCTTCTTCAAAAGTATCGGAAGCAACAATAACCTCATCAACATAGCTGACATCCTTTGACTTGATAGGCTCGACGAGACGCATCATCATTTTCTGGAATGTGCTCGGCGCATTACGTAACCCAAATGGCATTCGGTTGAACTCATAATGCCCGTTATGAGTTATGAAAGCTGTCAACCCTTTTGACTCTTCCTCAATCTCTATCTGATAATATCCAGACATCATGTCTAGAGTGGTAAAATACTTTTTACCTGCCAATATTGATAGTGTACCATCTACTGTTGGCATCGGCCATGGCTGCTTCTGTGTGATTGCGTTCACCTCTCTGTAATCAACACATAGGCGGTGCTCTCCATTCGCTTTTGGAACCAACACTATGGGTGATGCATACATCGAGTTCGAGGGACGAATAATATTTAAATTCATTAATTCAGTAACTATCTCTTCGACAATTTTGTGTTTCGGTATAGGTATTGGATACGGGTTTCGCACTACAGGTTTTTCCGACGTTAGAGATATTTGCATTTTAGAAAAACTACATTTACCTATCTCCCGCAATTCTTCGCCGAAACAATTCGCATACTTGTTCAAAATTCTTTTTAACTCTACTTGTTCGTTAATGGCAAGTTCATGGCCAACATTAATTTTATTCTCATCAATTAATCCGACATAACACTGTCCATTCTCGATCACAACACGGCTTTTTGATAAAATATCTGTCCCGATTATGGCATCGTACGCCATCAGTTCGTTATCAACAACTAAAAGTTCGCATTCAAAGTTTTTGTTATCAATCTTTACCAACGTATTTATTAGTTCACGGCACTGAAACTCACCTCCAGCGAAACCATGCAGCCTTTTATCGCACAATACTGTTTTATGTTCAGACTTTTCGACAATATCACGTTCCACAAGCTACTTGCAACTGCCTGAATGAATTAGTGCTTCACACTCAACATGATTTATTAAAATAGTTTTAGTCAAGGTTCGGTTCACTTGCATGCTGTCTTCAATTGCATTAACGATCGCTTCATTGTTAGTCACACTTTGGTCGACTTGCATATTATCTACAATTGCATTAACACGGTATTGATTTCTTTTAGGGCACTTCTTGGTTTCATGCGTAAACTCAGCTCAATTTCCACACTGTAATTTCTTTCGTGGTTCCAGGAAATTTCAGCAATATGCCCTCGTTCACCACAGTTGTAACACACTGGCCCATTTTTCATATTAGTTTTCACGTCTATTTTGCTGCCACTATTGTTATTTCTCAAAATAAATGTTGACGCACTAGTAACATGATCTTTTCTCATATTTACTACTGTATTGTTCAGTGCTTTCAACAAATCAGAACACTTCACAAAATGCATGGCTGTTAATGTTTTTCGTAAGCCATCATCATTCAAACCATTGATAATATATCGCATTGTCTTCTAGGTTTCCGCGACGCCCTAGAGCTAACATTTTAAAATAAAATTCGGTCAACGATTCTGTTTTGTTCATACGCGTGTGCATAAGCTGTATGTGAATGTCTGCACTATTCACTATGCACGGAAAATCATTCAAAAATGAAGTTACAAATTGTTACCACTGTTTAAATATGGGTTGCGAGTCGACCCACAGCTTTGCAACACCTTTAAATTTACTTTGTATAGCAAAAAGTAACACACTGTCATTCCATCGATATGCATCTTTTAATTGTTCAACCCGCTCTACGAATTGAATTGATATCATATCCTCCTTACACGGGTTAAAGTCTGGCAAAATGTCAATTATTTCACGTACAAAACTTCTTCTACATTCGTATGTGTCATTCTCGTTTATGCCTGCCCTACATTCGCAATTTCACCACGCATCATTTGAATATTTTCAACATACGTTGGGCCAACAACATGCCCAAAGCTACTTGCGCTTGGCGGCGACACTACTGGCGACAACACGGCGCTTGTTGTTGTAACCGTCGTTGTGAAATTCGCTTCTCTAATGCTATTCGTTGCACATACAGGCAAACTGTATGCTGTCGGCGTTTCACTCATATTCAATCGGGGTGGATTTTCGTATTGCTCAGCAATACCATGCGTTTGCGCACTAGCTTGCGCCTGCGCAAGCGACACAGAATTTTGCGAATATGCAAAAGAATTTTCTGGAGCAATATGCTGCACTGCCGTTGTGTGATTTACCAGCGTCGATGCGTCTAACACTGCTTGAAATTGA